TTAAATATGTCCAGATAGAGAGTGTGCCTCTGGCTAAACTTAATGCTTACAACAAAAGTAGAACTAGGTAACCTCGTCAAATTGTCTTTTTCACACAGAATATATAACATAGATCAGTAAAATCAGAATCATTGATTTATTTACTCAACACATTTTTTTTAAATTTCCTCCTATGTACCAGTCACCAAGAGTGCAATGTTAAATAGAATTATCCTTCTCCAATCTCTTGAAGTTTATAGGCTAGTAGAGATAAACATTAACTACAGAAAAACTTAAGTATTTAAATAATTACACTTTGTAATTATTTAGTTTTCATTTGGCCACAGATGAAGTGCTCTGAGGGACAAGAATGTGTTATGAGAGGAAAACCATTATTGACTGGGTGGTCAGAAAGCTCTCTAATCTGAAACCTGTAGGTTGCACAAAAAGTAGCTGGGCTAAAAGGCGAGGGGAGGAAGGTGCTCCAGGAAGACTTCTACCAAGGCTCTGAGTTTGGCTCTCTCCAGACCAGTGATCCCTGAATAAGGACCATGGGAGGGAGATAGGAAATGAGGCTGGAAAAGGAGAATGTAGAGTAGCAAGAATTTGGATTTTACCTTTGTGCAATGAAAACCCATTAAAGAATTCTCAACAGTATAGTTTCAGAATCTGATTTATCATTTTTTAAAAGCTCAATCTGGCTGCTGTGTGAAGAATGGCTGTCAGGAGAAAAGAATGAGAGACAGTTAGGAAGTCTTACTTACAGTCATCCAAGCCAGAAGACAGTGGCTCGGACAAAAGTGGCAACAGTGGAACCCGGAGAGAGGTGGACAGATTGCATACACATTAGGAAGATTGTAACATTAAATGATGAATTTGATATAGGAGAGGCTAGGGAGTGGGTGGGACAAGATGGGATCAAAGATAAGTTCCAGGTTTCTAAATTGAACAATAGGCTGGAGGCGTAGTGTAGCTTGGAAGTAAGAGGAAAAGAGGGTGGGATTAGTAGGTATTGTACAATCAATGACTATTGTATAGACCGCACTTCTCATTTAATGTGATGTGAACCACCTGAGGAATCTTGTTAACGTAAAGATTCTGATTGAGTAGGTCTGGAATAAAACCAGAGACACTGTATTTCTATAAATTCCCAAGTGATAATGCTGTTGGTCCATCAACCACATTTTGAGTAGCAAGGTTCTACTCTAGCGACACATAGGTTTATAAACTTTTTGCAATATTAAAAACAGACACACACAATAAACAACCTTTTTTATTTAATTATCATTATTTCCTAAAGAAAGGCTATTTTAACTACAAAAAGGTGAGAATAATTTTAAAATAAAGTGCTTTAATAAAGTTTTAATTTTAGAAAAAGTACATCACTCTTAGTTTTCATTTGGCCACAGATGACGTGAAATTTTTATTATGAGCTGACTTTCAGTAGCCACTGATCTAAATAAAACAACTTATTGATGAACCACATTTTTTAAGTTTTAAATAGCTATGATCACAGTCACTGTTTCATTCTTCTGTAAAAAGCAAAAACTATCATTATCAGCTTTGTGCAGTGGCAGTATCACAGCCAATGAGGTTTATCTCAGGGGCAATTATTGATAATTGGAAAAAATCTATCATTATTTATCAGGAACATACAACCACCAGAATCAACCTAATATTGTTCTTAGCTTCTAAGTCTGTTTGGTAAATCTTTTTCAAATCACTGTTGGGCATTTGGCCTGTTTTCAGATCTCAGCTATTGTAAATTGTGCTGCTATGAACATAGGGGTGCATATGTCCTTTCTGATTGGTGCTTCAGGTTTCTTGGGATATATATCATTACCAAATATGTTTTCCCTTTACAGTGGATACTCTTTGTTTTGTTGATTTCTGTTGCTGTGCAGAAGCTTTTTGTTTTGATGTAGTCCCATTGTTTATTTTCTCTTTAGTTTCCTTTGCCTTAGGTATTTGTATTCTTTTTGCTTCTTTGTTCTTGTTTTTCTCTATTAAACATGTGTTGTTCCTGTGATTTTTTAAAATTTAGAGATCATTGGGAGGTACTAAAAAAAAAAAAACCAACATTATCAACATTGAATTAATAAAGGTTGAATAGATAGACTATATACCAATCATGCATATTTAAGTGACAACTAACAATTAGAAAACTATCAATTTCCAATTAAACACTGAACTTTAAGACTATGCACTTAAAATCGAATCACTGATTATAAGGTTTGAAAAAAAGATGATCAATTTCATCAACACAATAACATGATTTACTTTTGAATAATGGAAAAAATAAGCAAAGAAGTTCCTAAACTTAAATTAGTATCTTAAACCCAAAATGAAAATAACCATACCTATATTTTTATTTTGGGATTTAAAATACAACACAAAGAGCGCATATATCAAACTTTATCACATTGTACATTTTAAGTATGTGCAGTATATCAATTATATCTCAATAAAGTTGGGAAAACCTAGAAAAAATTACTATGTAGCTAGGTCCTGTAGAAAGTGCTTTTATAAAATATTAAGCAGAAATAATCACCAGATTTTTTTTAAAGGGCCATTTCAATTCAGTGGGTTAGAAATGTTCAGTCTGTTTATTAATGTACAGAGCTAGGTTAAATGGAAAACCATGTGGAAAAAATTGAATGAGCTTAAAAAATTATTTTGAGCTGAATCATGGACATAAATGTGAGACTATTTCCATGAGTCTATATAGACAAAAAAGCAAACATGGCACCTAAAATAAACTTAACTGTGCTTCATTAAAATTAAGAATTTCTAAGCATCCAAGCTACAAACAAACTACAGACAAAAAGGAAAATATTTGCAACATATATAGGGTGCCCCCCCAAAAAATGTATACACCTTTAACAGCTGATGGCTGTAGAGTCTATTACATTTTAAAAATTAAATGTATTTTAACAAACACTGCCTTTATAGTGTGTATGAATATTTAGGGGGGACCTGGCACTGGACTTTTATCCAGACTATTATAAACTTACCATAAATAAGAAAAGACTGACAACCTTTCATGGGCAAAACACTTGAATAAGCACTTCACTGAAGAAGATAACCCAAACGGTCACTAGGCAAATAAAAAAATTGTCTACAAATTAACTATCAAGGAAACGCAAACATAAAAATCACAATCAGAAGTTAATACACCCTCACCAGCATGGGCTGCTTGCAAAAATGTAGAACAACTGGAAATCTCACATTGCTAGTTGGTGTGTAAGTTGATCTGCATTAGAAAACTTCTGGCGGTATCTAACAAAACCAGCATGCCCTATGGCTAAGCACTTCCACTCTTGGGTATATTTCCAACAGGAATGAGTGTATAAGCCCAACAAAAGACATGCACCCTGCTCTGGCCCCACTGCTTGGTTGGGGTGTCTTCCATACACACACCAAAAGGTTGTGGGTACTATTCCCAGTTGTGGGTACTATTCCCATATACCTAGGTTTTGGGTTTTGATCCCCAGTTGGGGTGGGTACTAGTGGCAACCCATCGCTGTTTCTCTCCTCTCTCTCTCTCTCTCTCTCTCTCTCTCTCTCTCTCCTCTCTCTTTCCTCTCTCTCTCTCTCTCTCTCTCTCTCTCTCTCTCTCTCTCCTCTCTCTTTCCTCTCTCTCTCTCTCTCTCTCCTCTCTCTTTCCTCTCTCTCTCTCTCTCTCTCTCTCTCTCTCTCTTCTCTCTCTCTCTCTCTCTCTCTCTCTCTCTCTCTTCTCTCTCTTCTCTCTCTTCTCTCTCTCTCACACTCCTTACCTTCCTCCCTCTCTCAAAACATATCCTCAGATGAAGATGTGAAAAAAAGGCATGTCCCGATGTTTGTGACTGCTTCCAGAACACCCTCAAACTGTAAACAACCCGAAAGGGTAAACTGTGGCTTAGCAATATAATGAAGTACTAATCAACGTGAATAAAATATATATTCTCAGTGTGTGTGTTCATCTCTCCATCTCCTTGCTGTTGTGGACAGGGATGATCAAGATCAGTTCTTGAAGACTAGAAAGGAAAGAGAATTAGCAAAGGATCTGGATTTGGAGTGTGTGTGTGAGTGTGTGTGTGTGTGTGTGTGTGTGTGTGTGTGTGTTGGGTGTGTTGGGAGGGGGGTGGGGAGGAGAGGATCCCCACATTCCGAAGCCAGATCCACTGCAATTACAGAAAACAAAACAAGCAGTATAGATACAGAAGGTAATTTTCAATACAAAATAAGAAATGTGTTTCAGCCGAGACCGGTTTGGCTCAATGGATAGAGCATCGGCTTGGGGACTGAAAGGTCCCGGGTTCGATTCCGGTCAAGGGCATGTACCTTGGTTGCGGGCATATCCCCAGTAGGGGGTGTGCAAGAGGCAGCTGATCGATGACTCTCTCTCATCGATGTTTCTAACTCTCTATCTCTCTCCCTTCCTCTCTGTACAAAAATCAATAAAATATATATTTAAAAAAAAAAAAAAAAAAAAAGAAATGTGTTTCAGTGTGCATGTCAAAATTGTCTTTAGCCTTCAGATGTCCCTTTCCAAAAAAAAAAAAAAAAAAAAAAGAGCCCGATGGTACCACCATCGTTTCCCAAGTAGTCACGTAATCTTCCAACATAGGTAAACCTAACGAGTCCAGAACAATTTTTCTGCAGAAATGTCTGAGTCACCAAACCTAGATCACTATAAATCCGAGATTACAAAACGCTGAGACTAGGAAAGCAGCCCACGCACAGTGATGGTTACCAAGAGTTCATGTCCACAAGAATGCACCGGCAGTTTCTCCGGCTCTCTCAGCCGCTGGGCTGGGGTGGAGGAGTGTGGATGCTGGGGCGCGGGAGGAGCGGGGGCACCGGTGCCGCGAAAACCCAGGCGGTTTCCCCGGGGCCCAGCCCGCCCTGAGCTGGACTCAGGACCTGACCTGGAAGGAGGCGTGGCCCCGCCCACGCCACGCCCACGCCACGCCCACGCCACGCCCCTCGGCGTCGGCCTCCGCGTCTCTATGGAAACGGCGCCCACTGCGGGGACCACGATGGCGGCGGGGGAGCCGGGGGAGCCGGGGGATCAGGGCGGCTACGGCTTCCGGTTTCTGCCTCAGAAAACCTTCGCGTCGCTGAGCTCGCAGGAGAGCGCCGGCCGGCTCCGCCAGTGGTGAGGGGCCGGGCGAGGAGCGGACGGACGCCCCTGGAGCCGGGCTGGCGGCCGGGCGGCGGGCAGGGCGGCCCAGCCGGGGTGGGACCCCGGAGGCCGGATCGCGGATGGGGGGTGGGGCTGGGGGTGGCCGCTGTGCTCTCGGGGTGGCGGGGGGCCGGCCCCCAAGCTGACTTTGCCCTCCTGTGCTCCAGGTCCATGCTGGGCAGGATCCAGGCCCAGGCGTTCGGGTTTGACCAGGTGTTCCGGGCCTATCGGAAGGATGACTTCGTTATGGTTGGTATGGGGGGGGGGGGGGGAGTTTCGGGGTCTCAACTGATTTTAAAATATATTTATTGAATTTTCACAGAGAGGAAGGGAGAGTTAGAAACATCGATGAGAGACCAGCTGCCTCCTGCATCACCCCCACCCGCCTTGTCCCCGAAACCAACGTACCTGCCCTTGACCGGAATCAAACCTGGGACCTTTCAGTCTGCAGACCGAAGCTCTATCCACTGAGCCAAACCGGTTTGGGCCTCTACTGACTTTAAATTCCCCCCAGCTTCGGCAGAGAGTGTGGTGAACTCTCCACCACGTGGGGATGTTGTTTCTTGGAGTTGGAGAAAAGCACGTGATACATTTTTACAGGAACTTTTACGTTTCCCATCACCATACATTAGCACATCGTCAGTATCCTTCCATAGAGATAATTTACAATTTTGGGAAATTCTGCCTCTATTTTTAATAGGCGCACCTCATATTTGAGTATTTGTTAACCCAGCTTTATCACCCGCTTTAATCGCCAGGCTTAGCTTCAAATTACTTTTGTTTGTGGAAATCCAATCTGTCTGAGAGAACAGGCTCAAGCACTACCAAATGAGGATCCAAAAAATAATAATAAAATAAAGGTTTTTAGCTACTAGAAGTAAGTGGTTTGAAAAGGAAAAAGCTCCCTTGAAACAAGTTCTGGTGTGTTGGTTAAAATTAAGTCACATTACTTTTATTATTTTTAACATATTTTATTGATTTTTTTACAGAGAGGAAGGAAGAGGGATAGAGAGTTAGAAAAATCGATGAGAGAGAAACATCGATTCATCTGCCTCCTGCACGCTCCTCACTGGGGATGTGTCCACAACCAAGGTACATGCCCTTGTCCAGAATCGAATCTGGGACCCTTGAGTCTGCAGGCCAATGCTCTATCCACTGGCCAAACCAGTTAGGGCTAAGTCACATTACTTTTAATTCCTGGGGTGTTTTTTTCCTCTTCAGTCAAATGGAAAGAACTGTTATGGTCTGTGATACTATCTTTGCTATTCTTGTCCTTGGGGCACTGATTTATTCACTCCTTCACCGGCACTTCCTGAGGGCCTGCCATGTGCTGGAAATGTTGTCAAGTGCTGAGGATACAAGACCCAACAAGACCCTCAGGAAGAGGCTTTCAGGGATCTCACGGGTCTGCGGCAAGACTGTCAATAAACACAAATGCGATCCTCTCATAAAGAGTGAAGAAAATAGTAGCCTAATGAATGAATCAATGTGTCTACTGTGAAGGTATATTCGTTTCCCAGCACTGTTGCACCAAAGTATCTCAAAATAAGTGGCTAAATACAACAGAAATATATTATGTCGCAGTTTTAGAGGCGAAAGTCCAAAATCAAGGTGATGCTCCCTCTGAAATCTGTAGAGAAGAATTCTTTCTTACCTCTTCCTCGTTTCCAGAGGTTGCCAGCAATCCTTGGCACGCCTTGGCTTGCCACTGCAGAACTTTCATCTCTACCCATGTCAGCGTCACTTAGCCGTCTGTCTTCATGTGTCTATGTGTGTGTCTCTTTATAAGAACACCAATGAATGTTAAGGGCCCACCCTGAACTAATTACATCTGTAACAACCCTGTTTCCAACTAAGATCACATTCTGAGGTTCCAGGAATGAATTTTGGTGGGTACACTAATTCAACCCTTAACAGAGGGTAAATGGGTTAAGTGTCTATTTCTCTTTCCCTAAGCTAGTGTTGTAATGTTAATATAATATGCTAATATAATGCTACTGATGATGACATTAATGATATTTCTCAAATATTCATGGTTAGATTTTTATAGTTTTATATTTTTCATTTATGCCAGTACTGGCTCTCCATAATTTAAAAAAAAATCAGAATTTTATTCACTGAATTTGAGAGTGTTATAAAAAAATTAATGTTTTTTTATTGATTTCAGAGAGGAAGGGAGGAGAGAGAAACATCAATGATGAGAGAGAATCATTGATCAAACCTGAGGCCCTTCAGTCCACAGGCTGATGCTCTATCCCCTGAGCCAAACCAGCTAGGGCACAAAATTTTTAATGTAAGTCATTTATTCAATAAATATTTATTGAATACTTATGTCCCTGCTCTAAGGTGTTAAAAAGATTTGATCCCAGCTTGCAAAGCATATACAGTTTCGAAGTTAGAAATGTAAAATACTCTATACAACACAATAAAATAATTGCTATAATGGAGGATAGATATATCAGGTATCCTATCAAGGAAAAAAGACCACTCTATGGAGAAGGGCATTTGTGCTGGGAAAAACTTCATGGAGAAGAGAATAGAATTCATATGGGTTGTGCATTAGACACAGAATTCATCAATAGATTCAAGACTCATTCATAAAGCACAACCAATTTTCTTAATACCAGGCGATTTTTTTTTTCATGTTTGTTAATCCTAATTTACTTTTCCTGTGAGGTAGACACTATTATTTCCATACTAGAGGCCTGGTGCACAGATTTGTGCATGGGTGGGGACCCTGAGCCTGACTAGACTAGCAATTGGGGCCTATTGAGGCTGGCCAGCTTTGCCTGGAGACAACGGGGCAGGGGGGGGGGGGGGGGGGGGGCGGGGGGGGGGCGGGGGGGAGCGCCCGGAAGGTTAGCCAGCTGTGGGAGGTTGGCTAGCTGTGGGAGGTTGGCTGTGGGAACACACTGACCACCAAGGGGCAGCTCCTGCATTGAGTGTCTGCCTCCTGTTGGTCAGTGTGCATCATAGCTACCATCCTGCCATTCTGTGGTAACAGTCACTTCGGCTTTTATATATAGATTTCAATTCAAAGAGATGTACTCATACAATCATCATTGTTACTTGTGTAACTAATTTGGAGGAAATACAGCATTGTGGCTAAGAGGATGGCCCAGGAGAGGATTTGAATCTTCAGGGCCCCTCACTGGCTCAAGCTCCTCAGTTGCAGAAACCCTTTCCAAGGAACTCTAAGAGACTACAGATATGGTCACATGTAGCCTCCCCCCCTCACTCCCTCTCCTTACTAGATAACAGTTTCCAAAGCAGTTGTTATGATCTCATCCTCACCTGAGGATATTTTTCCATTGCTTTTTAGAAAGAGGGAAAGACAAATATCTGTGTGAGAGAAACACATCAATTGGTTGGCTCCTGCATAGGCCCTGGGGCCCGGCCTGAGGAATCAAACCTGGGACCCGTTGGTCCACCAGCCAACATTCTATCCACTGAGACAAACCTGCTAGGGCCATAGTGTTTTTCTATAGCAATAGTGACTACTGTTTGCCATATTAGGTTTCAGCACTTTTTAAACCTTTGTCACTAATCTTTCCTACAATCTGGTAAGTTTGGTGTTTCGATCCCCATTTTATAGCTTAGGGAACTAAAGCTCAGAATAGTTAGATAATTTGCGCAACAATGCCCGGCAAATGGCAGAATCCAGGCCTTCTAACTTAAACATCCATGTCCAAACCTCATAACTGAACAAAGGGTATTGCTTACACCAGAATTCCAGATCTGGATTTTTTCCGTTTAAAAATGAATTCTGTTCCAAGTTCATTTGTGAGGTAGTAAATGGATGGAAAGAAGGAAGGGAACATTCATCCAGCAAACATTTCTTTGGTTTCTAGGTCTGTGCTGATGAACAAGATAGTTAAGGAGAGGGGAACACCAAAGATTGCATTGCAGAGTGAACAGTGATATCAAAATGTGTGCACAAGGTACTGGGGTAGCACAAAAGAGAAAGTGACTTTTGTGCTACCCCAGGGGTCAGAGGAGGATTTACAGAAGTCACTTGAAAGAAGTGGAGAAGTTTGTCAGGTGGACAGAGTGAGGAGTCAGTGTTAGACAGATGGGTGGGCAATATTTTAGAAGACCTCTTGAGCCATGCAAAGGAGTTTAAGCTTTACTAGCTAATGAGGAGCAACTGAAAGGTCTTCAGCAAGACAGTAAAATGTAAAATACTGAGATCAGTGTGGTGGAAGTGTGGAGGGTAGAAGTGTGTTAGGACTGAGTCTGAAAGCAATGAGACCAAATTGGAAATTGCTTCTCAATTATGATGAGACAATGGCACCAAATTCAAAGCACCATAATGACCTGGAGAGATGTTTGTGGAAAAGGCAATACATAAGGACTGGTAAAATATTCAGAGTAAGGCACTAAGTTTCAGATTTGGTTGACTGGAGTGGTAGATGATACAAACAAATAAAATGAGTTTAGTTCTAGTCATGCTAAATTTGAGGTGTATCTAAGTGGCAATATCCTAGATAGTTGAATATAAGATCTTACGTTGAGTCCTAGGAGAGCACGGGGCTCAGTACACAGTGTTGACATCCTAACCATGGGATTGGGCTAATGGGAGGAGGGTCTTTCACATAAACTGCAGGAAAGTTCCTTAATTTACAGGGCTCTCCGAAGGTATGCACATCTGCTTACATTTCATGACCAGGCTGCATACATCTCATCGCCACATGCCACAGAGACTAGAAGTGCAGACTTTTAGCTGAGCACATACACGGTTAAATAAGTTGTGATTTCTTAAGGAAGAGAGAATTGACATTGGATTAGAAACCAGCAGTGTCATATAGATAAAAATATGAAATGTTTACTTATATTTCACATTTGTAGTGTGCAGTAGAAATACATTAAGAATTATATAGAACCCTAACTGGTTTGGCTCAGTGGGTAGAGTTGGCCTGTGACTGAAGGGTCCTGGGTTTATTTCTGGTCAAGGACATGTACCTTGGTTGTGGGATTGATTCCCAGTAGGAGGTGTGCAAGAGATAGCTGATACGTTTCTCATTGATGTTTCTAACTCTTATCTCGCTTCCTCTCTGTAAAAATCAATCAAATATATATATATATTTTAAAGAATTATATAGGAAATATATTTTAATTTTAAAAGTATTTTTCAAACTCACATTCTATGAAACAAGTTTATTCAAATCTTCACATGCATTTTATCATCATTATATTTGTTATCACTGTAATTAATTTATGAGTCATCTAATATTTTTCCAAACACATCATCTTTCCTAAAGTTATTTGAGATACAGAGAATCCATTCTAATACCTCACTGGAAATTCTCTAACAAACTCAAAATATATTTGCATACATTAAGGTAGGTGTTTTTTTTTTTTAATTCTTTTGTGTATAATTTTAACCCCAATGATAGCTGTCATACTGCTTTCTTTAAGTAGCCTTTATGAAGACTTAGTTCCATTAGCTCCACATCAATTTATTGCAGGCCATTTAGCCTACTTCTATTTATAATGACTTAAATGTAATTTGTAAGTTACAAAATGACTAAATCTTAAATTCCCTGCTTTAGTGATTTGTTCAGAAGATTTCTAAAAAGTGTTCAAAACCAGTATTGATTGAGATTTATTCCAGCTTTTTGTTTGTTTGTTTGTTTGTTTGTTTGTTTGTTTTTTAAGAATTTATGCCCTGGCCAGTGGGCTTAGTGGTTAAAGCATCAGCCTGTGCACTGAAGTGTCATGGTTTCAATTCCCAGTCAAGGGCATGTACATGGGTTGCAGATTCCATCCCAGGCCCATGGGAACACGTGCGGGAGGCAACTAATTGACGTGTCTCTCTTACATTGATGTCTCTCTGTCTCTCCCCCACCCCTCTCCCTTTTATTCTCTCTAAAAATCAATGGAAAAAATACCCTCGGGTGATAATTTTTTAAAAAGGACTTGTTCATTGATTTTTAGAGAGAGAAACATTAATGGTGGAGCATCTATAAGCTGCCTCCTGTACACATCCCCACCGGGGACCAAGCCTGTAACCCGGCATGTGCCACTGAATGGGGATTGAAAGGCCAACATCTGGTGCCCAGGATGGCAGCATCCATAAGCTGCCTCCCTACTCTCAACCATCTGAACCACACTTGTTTGTTTTCAAGCATGTATGTGATATATGCTAAAATAGATGTGCAAACACTCTACTTTGAAACTTTGTAAGGCAACAACTTCCTGTTTTTCTGAAGAATTACTTTGGGAAAAACTTACTTTTGTAATTGGGCATGTATGATACCTGTAACATGTTTACCTTTATCCTCCACCACTAACTGTAAACTCCATGGCAACAGGGACTTTGTTTTGCTTGTCATAATGCAGACTGACATTCACAAATGCTTGTTGAATGTGTTCATCTTCACCCCACACACCTGGTCCCTTTCTCATTAAATGACAGGCGTTCTGCCTCGTTTTTTTTTTCATACGAAGTTTCCAGGAGTCACTTTTGATTCTTCTGGCTCCCTTTGCTCCTCCTAAATATGCTTTGAATCCATTCACTTCTCCACTTCCCTACTTGCTATGGGTTTGACTGATGTGAATATCAAATATTCCAAATTATAGCATACTCCTCTCTCCTAACTAGTCTCTATATCCTTCAATTCATTCTCTACACTACATCCAAAATTAACTCTTTTAAAAAATGACTCTAATTACCTTTCCTCTGCTTAAATCCTTCAGTGTCTTCAAAATACTGATTCAAAATACTTAATTCAAAATACTGATCAATCTAGATAGATCTTAGATCAATATAAAATTCTTTGACCTGGCCCTTGCAGGTTTGGTTCAGTGGATAGAGCATCAAACTGCAGACTGAAGGGTCCTGGGTTCGATTCCAGGCATGGTTGCAGGATCCTCCCTGGCAGGGCTCCTGCAGGTGGTAACCAATCGATGTGTTTTTCTCACATCAATATTTCTGTCTTCCCCTCTGTCTTCCCTCTCTCTAAAAAATCAATGGAAAAATATCCTCAGGTGAGGATTTAAAAAAGAAAAATATATATTATTTAAAACAATTTTTTTTTTTTACTTGATCTGCAAGGTCTAGTGCAAGCATGCCAAAAGCTAACACAGGCCAAATAAACAAGGTTTAAGTTTATGTGAACCACAAAAAAAAAAAAGTTTCAATTTTCATAGAAATGTAGGTTTATTTTGATAGAGACATTATGAATACAAAGGACTGAAATAAATGAGTAATTGTTAACATAATAGAACATTTAAGTAAAAATTAATCTTTTTTCTTGAACATTAACTTACCAGACACTGAATAACTGCACAAATTAATAAGCATAATGCAAATGAACCTATTTTTCTTTTTCTCCAAAAGTGAAATATTTCCTGTTGCGCACACCAAACAAGTCAGTCTGAAACTAATGATGTGGCAATCAGCCGCTAAAATATTTGCTGCTGGTATTAGTGGAGAGAAATGGGGCGCCTGTGGGTGAGGCACTTCAGAGAAATGAATGCAACACAATTATAGTAATCAGACATTAGCCAACGTTGTAGTTCGATATTAATAATAACATATAACAGGATATTGTAAAAATTAAGTTACAAAATTTTTATTAAAACGTTTCTTACATACTGTTACATTGGCTGGGCTGCAAAAATATTCTCTGTGGGCTTGATGTGCTTGGTCTAGTCTAGTGTAACTCCCCAACCTCATCTGGCTATTGCCTCTTGGACTCTGGTCACTCTGAACTTCATTTCCTTGAATGAGATGCTTCCTCCTTTCTCACTTTATGGAGTTCAAAGTTGCCATTTTTATATATATCCAGTGTTATGCGAGTACCATATCAGGACAGCTTCACTGCTAAATTTTCAAGAATCTTTGCCGATTGCTAAACTATTAGATCATAGAATTCACCATGAAAATCAGCAGATGTTACAAAACAGGGTTTTGGGTGAAGAAGAAATATCAGTTGTTAAACCTTTACCAACCTGCTACTTACCTTCCTCATCTAAACCTAAATGTTCTTTCTGTATTAACCTTTCTTCCCAACATTATTAGATCTAGCTGGGGAGGGGTGGTGGTGATTACCAAGACAATTGGGAAAGGAAGATGGAAGGAAAACCAAATTTCAAGTATTATATAGCCTTCTCCTTTTCACTATAAATCATTATTTTCTATTAAATTGATATCTATACTTTGACATAGTGTTGTTCATGCTGTTCCAACTTAAACGTAACAAAACTGCACTTCTTGCCAAAATCGGTTTGGCTCAGTGGATAGAGCGTCTGTCTGCAGACTGAAAGGCCCCAGGTTCGATTCCGGTCAAGGGCATGTACCTTGGTTGCAATAAAATATATATTTTTTAAAAATAAAAATAAAAAACTGCATTTCTTTATAAAGCATTTATTACTTAGACATTTTACTGATTTAAAATTGTCTTTCCCTGTTTGAGTTAAGTGAGATTTTACTGTAGTTACTTTAGAAGTTAATTCTTATTATTGTTTATAATAAAATATCTAAATTGTTTCCTCAAATTTGTATTTTAGGCTTTTTTCAAAGACCCAAATGTTATTCCCAATTTGAAGTTACTTTCAGATTCTGGACAGTGGATTACATTAGGTAAATAAAATTTATTTTTTTTATTTTTAGATGACTATTTTACTGTCATAACAAAATTTTGTCCCAGGAATTTTTATTAAAATACAGATTGTGAATAGTCGTTTGTTTGGTAACATCAAAGTCAAGTATGAACAGCTCTGCCAGGCCTGACCTGCATCTTTTCCTGGCTTAGCAACATAAGGGCAGTTTTTCTCATTTCATTAATTGGGAAAGTATTTATTTTGTACTTTCCATGGACTCTGCCAGATACAGGGTACATTAAGATGAACAAAAGAAAACCTGTACTCAAAACTCTGATATGTGGAAAAATATGTGCAATAATTTATCACTGGGGCTCCCAAAGCAGTGGGAGCAAAAGGAGGGAAATGGTTATATATATATATATACATATATATATATATATATATATATATATATATATATATATAATTTCAGAGAGGAAGGGAGAGGGAGAGTCAGAGAGAAAATATCAATGATGAGAGAGAATCATTGATCAGCTGCCTCCTATATGCCTCACACTGGGGATCGAGCCTGCAACTCAGGCATGTGCCCTGACCAGGAATCGAATCATGATTTCCTGGGTTCATAGGTCAACACTCAATCACGGAGCCAGGCCAGCTGGGCTATGGATCATGCATTGAAAAATAATAATACCAGCCCGGCTGAGGTGGTTCAGTGGTTCTATTACCAGTCAGGGCACATGTCCAGGTTGTGGGGGGCATGCAAGATGCAGCCAATTAATGATTCATTTTCTCATCATTGCAATTTCTGTCTCTCCCTCTCCCTTCCTGTCTGAAATCAATGATAAAAATATATTTTTAAAATAAAAAGAATAATTCTGTAACCATAATAAATTGAATTTAAAAAATAATAATATGTTAAATCTTGGAAGAGTTAAATTCTCAAAAGAAGAACTTCATATAGCTAATTTTTCCATGGTACATTGGAATGCAACTAGAAATCTTTAAAGAAAATTACCAAGACACTAAGGAACATTCAAATCTCTAAATAACTCTCAGGTCAAGGACTAAGAGCATTAATAGAAGACTACTTTGAAAACAAAAACCTAAGAAATATATATTTTTTAAATATTTTATTTTTAATTTTAAAATTAAAGTTGACAGACAATATTATTTTAGTTTTAGGTGTACATTATTTTAGTTTTAGTTGATTAGACATTTATATAACTTATGAAGTGATCCTTCTGATAAGTCTAGTACCCATGTGACACCAAACATAGTTATTATAGCATTATTGACTATATTCCTAATGCCGTATTTTACAGCTCCGGACTGTTTTTATAACTGGCAATCTGTACTTCTAAATCCCTTCTCCTTTTTCACTTATCCCCTATCCCTCTCATCTGGCAACCATCAATTTATGCATGAACACTATATTTTAAATTTTAGATTGAGGCCTCTTAACAATCATCATTCCATTTAGGAGGAAAATCTGGTTGATAATGTGAATTTGTGCTCAAGAACAAGCGAGTTGATTTTAAATTAGATGGGGTTGTTTCAGTGAATTCTTACATTGCATTTTTATGGAATTCTATTAGCCTTGCACTAAAATAACTTTTCTTGGTATTAGTCAAAAACAAGATTACAAACAGTTCATGATGTTAGACTTAGTGGGTCAGATTTTATTGCTTTTGGCTAAAGTACTACTGCAAAATTTATAGAGTAAAAAGCTGGTACAGCATGATCTTCAGATTACTTACAAAGTTAAACAGTATCTGACCAAATGTATTTACCAATTCAAAATCTTCAAAAGGAAATAATTAGAGCCATGTATCACTGTGTTTATAAAGCATGTTTACAGTAACCAGTCAATTCATTTACAAAAATAAGATCCGTTGAGAAAAGTGTTCAACTTTCCCCCATGTTGGTACATACTTCACAAAACACTCACTTTTTTTCTCTAAATTTTAAAAAAGGCATTGCAAAAGAGAGGTTCTAAAACTCCACATGCTCCTGGCAGAATCAATTAGAAGTACTCTGTAAAACAGGGCAGAGGAGGTAGCCCTCATTTCAGAAGCAGCCGTTCCTAGTGGATTGCTAGTATTCTTCCATTTGCTTGTTTTTATCTCCACCTACATACTTCTCTTCTTCTGAAATATTATCTTCTCTCTGATTTTCCTCTGGGGGCCCTGATAAACGAAGGAACAGCTTTTTTAATTATTATTAAATTATTATCTGTGTACATATCTTACCATTGCCCCTCCAACTCCCATACATGCCCTCCCTCCCCAGAGTTTTGTGTCCATTGGTTGTACTCATATGCATGCATACAAGTCCTTTGGTTGATCTCTTTTTAAAGAGATAGAGAACATTCTTCTAGCAAGTGAACTAATGTTAAAGTGAGAGGGAACCTCCTTCACCGCTGGCTGCACTGCTTGATTGCCAGTGAGTGTTGTTTCAACCTCTCAGCCAGCTGCCATTGCTCCTTCTTTTAGACAGTTTGCCCTTCTTTACTTACATATAATGGGTGCTTTCTATGTGCTCAGCTCAGAGCATCATATACATTATTAATTCTCAAAACAGCTCCGAGGAAGATATTATTATATATTTTTATTTCACAAATAAGGAGTCAGAGGCATGAGCTAAATAATTCGCAGTTTTACCCAGCTGGCTGCATAGACTTGTGATTCAAATCCAGGCTCCAGGATCCAAAACCTTGACCACTGCACCCTCCTACCTCTGCCACTTCCACATTAATGAAGTTGCCAGAAAAGCGCCCAACTTGGACACAAAAACAAGACATACAGTGTATTATAATCCCAGGTGAAAAATAGTACATTTTTAACTTTCTGTATGAACACAGTGATATATCTTACAAACGCTAGAGACAGTGTAACCAAATTCCTACATAACAGATAGCATGTCCTATGGACTGAATTATGTCCCTCCAAAATTCTTATACTGAAACCTTCACCTTTAATGTGATGGTATTTGGAGATGGGCCATTAGGATATAATTCCGTTTGTAGGAGGTCTGAAGGGTCCTCATGATGGGATTGGTGCCCTTATAAAAGGAGGAGGAAATAGCAGAGCTCTCTGCAATGTGTGGACAAAGTCATCTGCAAACCAAGAAGAGAGAATCACAGAGGTGGAGCCACTGCCCTATGGATCTGGAATCAAATCAGCCAGCACCTTGACCTTGGGCTTCTTGGCCTCCAGAGCTGTGAGAAATAAGTGCCTGTTGTTATACTGCCCAGTCCGGTATCTTGTGAGAGCAGCCTATCTAATTAATACAGATGGAAGTGGAGTGCTGCTGTAGCTAATGCCTGAAAATGTGCAAGTGGCTTTGAAACTGTGTGATGGAAATGGGTAAAAGCTGGATGAATTGTGAGATGCATGCTGGAAATAAGGATGTTCGAGTTGATTCTAGTGAGGTTTCAGATGGAAATGAGGAACATGTTACTGGAAACTGGTGGGAAAGCAATCCTTGTCCTAAAATGGCAGAGAACTTGGTTGAATTTTTTTTTTTTTTTAGTATTTTGTGGATATGTTGTATCATAAATCATTGAATGAGATACAAGATGCCTTAATGAGCCACTTAATTAGGAGTCGTTTATTGCTCGGCCCAGAGGAGGTGTCTTTTTCCATATCTCTGAGCACCACGTACGGGAAGTCTCCCATATTTACACTTTTTGAGCCTCTTTGTTTGCAGATATTACAAAGGGCTCTGTGTGAGTCATTGTCACAGACAGTTGTAACCTTGAAAACATAATGGGTTTGTATTTGGCATAATTATTATCAGATTAGTTTGTTTTAGTCTATTACATTGGATGGCTAGCTTGCAAGGTCAGATAGTTAAGTTTATCTTTTTCTATTATTTGAACTAAAAACAAAGTCATTTTACAGAATAACAGACTGTCTTAAAGTGACAGAGTTTACAGGACTAGGGACTATCTAACAATAGCAGAGAATTAAAACAGAAGTTTGTGTTTTTTTATATACAAAATGGGGATTACTATATTTCAAATAGTAGATAAAATTAGATATTTAACTGAGGAAACTTCTAAGCAAAATGTCGACTTAGTTCCTCTAGAATGCTTATAGTAAAATTAGGGGCCCAGTGCATGAATTTGTGCATCTTGAAAGGAACTGTGGGCTACAGGCTGGGATGGGCACAGGGGCAGGTCTTGGCCCATCCTCTGTGCCCCTGCCCAACCCCTCCCACCACCCAACCCACCCCCCATCCCACCCACTGTCCTGTCTGCTGGCAGCCCCTCTCCCGCTGCTGCTGCTGCTCCCATGCACTAATGGTGCTGGCCCCATTTGCACCCGCTGACAGCGCAGAGTGATTGGGACCTGCACCAGCAGAGGTGCAAGTGGGGCTGACACCATCAGTGGGTTGCATGGCAGCTGCTGCCCTGATCGTCCCTCAGGAGCAGGGGGAGGTGGAGAAGCCTTGGGGCAATCAGGACTGATAGCCGCTGCTCACAACTGCTGGTGGCGCCCAGTGATCAGGACAGGCGCCAGGCAGGACACCGGCAGTGAGTGCAAGTGGAGGTGCCGGCTTCAGGTGTGAGCAGTGGCTCTGGCACTGGCAGTGAGTGCAAGCAGGGCTGGCACCAGCAGCAGGTACAAGTGCCAGGCAGGACTGTGGAAGCAAAGAATTTTCAGTAACCACCAGAGACTCACCCTGATTATAGTGACCTGCACCCACCTTGGTCTGGTGCCCCCATTCACCTGCTCCACTATCCCACTGCGGCCAACGCCTGCCATGTTCCACACATGCCCCCTGATAGTCAGCACATATTATAGCAACCAGTTCGGTTGTTCTGGTTGTTCTGCTGTTTGGTCTGTTTGCATATTAGCCTTTTATTATATAGGATATGAAAGGAGAGCAATGAATTGAACAAGTAATTGTTAAGCAGAAAGGAACCAGAGCTTGAAGATTTGGGAAATTCTCAGCATATTCCTATTGCAAAAAATGAGAAATCTTGTTCTAAAGAGAACACTAAGAGTGTGACTAAGCTACCATTTGATAAATAGTATAGGATTCAATTTATGGACTTAACTGGCCATTTCAGCAGAAGCCAGAAAATGAGATAAATGGGAATTATACTAGCAAAGACACTGACAGTTTGAACAAAAGACAAAATGAAGACTGACAAACATCTTAGATTCTACAGAATCATACCATAGAGCCATCTGGCTGCAAATATGCTCTATCTATAATAATAAAAGCATAATATGCTAATTAGACTGGACCTCCTTCCAGACGACCTTCTGGATGAAGCTGGGACTGCGAGGAAAGCCCAGGTCCTGGGTGCCTGTTGGTGGCTGGAGGGAAGCCAAGGTCCCAGGTTTCAGAGGGAAGCCAGTGCCGGCAGCCGGGGGAAGGAAGGCCTACTCTTGCACGAATTTTGTGCATCGGGCCTCTAGTTTCTCAATAAAAGAAAAGAACTGAGAATGCAATTCAGAGATCATCAGAGCCACCCCCTCAGTTTCAACAACATACCTCACCTTGAGGAATCACAGAGGTGGAGCCACTGCCCTATGGATCTGGAAGACAGTGCTTTGAAACAAAAGGATTAGTCTTGGGGCTTAAAATCTAATAGAATTTGCCTTGATAAATTTTAAGCTTGCTTGGAACCATTACTCCTTCCTTCTTTTTTACTTCTCACTTTTGAAATGGAAATGTCTATCCTTATGCCTGTCTCACCATTGTGTTTTAGAAGCACATAACTTGTCTGGTTTCCCAGGTTCATAGCTGGAGAGGAATTTTGCCTCAGGATAAATCATACCTCTAGTTTCACCCAGACCCAATTTAGATGATATTTAGATGAGATTCTGGACTTTTAGAGTTTATGCTGGAATGATTAAAACTTCTAGTGCTATTAGAATAGAGAAAATGTACTTTGCATATAAGAAAGACATGAATTTTGGGGTCCAGAGACAGAATACTATGGTCTGAATTGTGTTCCTTCAAAATTCATATGTTGAAGTCCTAAACTTACACCCTTGCCTCATCTAACCCTAATTATTTTCCAAGGGTCTAATGTTCAAATATTGTTACATTGGGGATTGGGGTTTCAACATACTAATTTTAGAGGGACACAATCCAGTCCATAACAAATGCTATTTCTATGCCTCAGATTAAGTAGTTTGTATTTAATTACCTTCTCCCATCATCCAAACCCTCCTGTCACTCCTCGATCAGAGCTCGGTATATTTGTTAAAATGGCAGGTTGCTCAATGTTTATCTCTCATTCTGTGGCCACCAACCTATTTTTGAAGACTGTCTTGCTCTTCACTGCTCTTGTTCTTTGACCTTTTAATATTGTTTAGACCTCCTCTATCATTTTCTGTGGGCTTTTTCCTTTATTCCTCCAGAAGATTTTGCCTCTAAAATACACGGAGCTTTTCTTAGCAGCATTGCTTTTGAAATTACTGAGTATCTATAGTTCCTGGCTCTGGGCATCCTTCTTGCCTTTACACTAACCCAGCTCAGGTCCTAGCGGGATTCTAGGCGGACAGCCAGAGGGAGGAAGTGAAATAATTGCCAATATTACTCCTCCGAATTTCAAGCAACTTCTTGGGTTAAAGATCTGGCAAATGTATGAAGAGAAGACACACCAAAAACCACCATATCTTGGTCTACAATCTCCATAGAACTTTGAAGAAAGAAGACCAATATCCCTCTATATCTCAGTGAGAGCATGTGTATATGTGGATGCATACAAGGGGGCATTGAATGATTCATTAAGGAAATCATAAAAGTACTCACTTTAACCTTCATGTATTTCTGTAATTTAGTAGAACTTCTATAATAATAACAGAAAATCCATCTCTGAAAGAGTTATTCAGGAAGTAAGTGGGAAGGGGGAAGAGCTAGAACTACAAGAGAAAAATAGACAAAACACCATGATTTCACATTTCTCTAATCTCAAACTTGTGATAACTTGATTAGGGCCTGGTTTGAAATATATTTTAAAAAGGAAAACTTTTTTTTGCAATAAACACTGTAAATGAGAGTACAATAAAGAAATTTTTAAATGGAAAGGGACATTTATGAGACATCCTCAATGATTTTAGAAATACCCATTAGTTATGTCAATTAAAATTTTGTAATATGCATTAAACATAATATAAATCCAAAGTCATTAAGTAATTCCTGAGTTTTTATAGACAATTCTGATATATGCATTAAAACTGATCTAAAAATCTACTACTACACACACAAAAAAAATCTATTTCATTTTAAGGCACTTCTAGTATACATATCCTTCATCTAGGCCTGAAATGGTAAAATTTTATTTTAAACTTTTAATGATTTTTTTTTTTTAATCCTCACCAGAGGATATTTTTCCATTGATTTTAGAGAGTGGGTAAGAGAGGGAAAGACAGAAACATGGATGCGAGAGAAACACATAGATTGGTTGCCTCCTATACATCCCCCCAACAAGGGCTTGGGCTGGGGAGGAGCCTGCAACCTAGGTACATGCCCTTGACCGGAGTTGAATCCAGAACACTTCAGTTGGCAAGCTGATGCTCTATCCATTGAGCAAAACTGTCTAGGACATAAACTTTTAATGATTAATAAAAATTAAAAGCTATAAAATAATAATTTAATAAAATTCTTTAATGTATCTTTTAAATATATCAAAACATGCCTGATGGTCATTACTTTGAATCTCTGCATAGTTGTGCTTTTTTTGGAAATAATTGCAAATATTAAACTAATTTTTATATGTCTATAAAATACCTTTTTTCAGGAACTGAAGTGAAAAAAATTGAAGCTATAAATGTTCCTTGCACACAGCTTTCAATGTCATTTTTTAAACGATTATACAATGAAGATATTGTACGAGATAATGGACATATTGTTAAATGTTTAGACTCTTTTTGTGATCCCTTTCAAATTTCTGATGAGTTACGAAAGGTAAGTACAGAATTTTTAAACTTCACAATAAAATTTTATTTTAGAAAGTGCTTCATATCAAAAACTTTTGCCTATCTAAAACCCACAAAATACCTGTAACAATGAATAATGATCAGTACATTGGCAGGTTTCTTGGATGAAACTTTTATTATCAACTTAATTATTTGTGCATTTCAATAGTTCTCAGCTGGGTGCTACTGGCATCTAATGGGTTGAGGCCAAGGATGCTGCGAAACATCATACAATACACAGGATAGCCCCTCACAACAGTTATCTGGCCCAAAGTGTCACCTCTAACTGGTCACCTCTAACTGCCCTACAGGCTTGATTGCTCCCAACTGCCTTCCTTGAAGACCTGGTCCCTCCCAACTGCCTTCCCCTGCTGGCCATCTTGTGGTGGCCATCTTGTGTCCACATGGGAACAGTCATCTTTGACCACATGGGGGCAGCCATCTTGTGTGTTGGAGTGATGGTCAATTTGCATATTATTATTTCATTAGATAGGATAGAGGCCTAGTGCATGGGTGGGGGCTCAGCTGAAGGGTGTCCCTTATCATAGTGGGGGTTCCCTTGAGTTGTGGGCTGCCTGGGCAAGGGGCCTGTGGTGGTTTGCAGGCCGGCCATGCCCCACAGCAACCCAAGTGGAGGCACTGGTATCTGAGATTTATTTATCTTCTATAATTGGAGTGGAGCCCAAGCCTCCTGCCTGCTTCATGGCCACAGCCTATTCTGTTGGAATTTATTTATCTTCCATCATTGAAACTTTGTAGCCTTAAGTGGAGGCCAAGGCAGGCCATGGTAGGCAGAAAGTTTGGGTTCCTCCATTGTCAAGGAAACCCAAGCCTCCTGTTCTCTTCCTGGCCACAGCCACCTTGGTTGGGTTTATTTGCATATTTGCTCCTGATTCGCTGGTGGGCATGGCTTGTGGTGTAGCAGAGGTATGGTCAATTTGCATATTACTCTTTTATTAGATAGGATACTTACTATTCTTATTCTACATTAAGCAAAAGGAAGATGTGCAAGTCTAATGTGTTGCAAATCCATATAGAAATGAACTAGAGAAGCTACTGATGTACCATAATAGGCAAGCAATCCTGTCTGTAGGAGACCAGGAGGTATCCAGCTAGTCTATACATTGATCTACACTAGTACAAAGCCTAAGAGAATTCTTTGTTTAAGAAAATAAAATGAACTAATTGAGAATAACCAAACTCGTCCAATTGAATGAGACTATATAACTTGGTCTTAAGTGAAGCATATTTATATATAATAAGAATATAAATACTATACGGTGAGGATCTGATATTAATTTCTACTCCTTCTTACCATGAATTGGAAATTATTATTCAAAAAGTGTCTAGTCTAATCTGGGTTTCTCTCCTTTTGGGTACAGTTAATCTCATCTCTTCTCTCTGTCACTGAACTGTGTTAAATTTTTTTGTCTCAAGGCCCTTATCCCTAATTTTGGAGAGTTTTAACAACACTTTTACAGCAATGGACTTTTTTAGAAAGAGGATTTGATTTCCAATAGAGTATTCTGTTTAAAACTGCCTGCTGTGGCTTGTCTTAGTTATGCCATGAATAGTGCACCTTTATTCAGAAAGTGCTGGGACTCATCATTTTTCTGATAGTTGCCTGTATATTTGCTCCTGTGTTCTTTGTTACTCTGTTCTTTTAATTTGATTGCATTCCAGCTGAAAAATAAATTTTTTCCAGATTTAGCATGAAATATAAAGGGCCCCCCATTGTACAGCAATACGGATTCTACTGGCAATACTGTGTAACATAAGTATTGATGATAATAACCTCATTTCTGACGGCAGCTCAGAAGTTGGCTCCTTAACTGTTACATACCAAATCATTGAACAGATCTACATGTGAATGGAGAGGAAGATCAACCATGGGATGTTATTGTTTAACATTCATTCTAAAGAAATTTCTAATTATTGTAATTTTTAAAATATATTTTTATTGATTTTTTTACAGAGCAGAAGAGAGAGGGATAGAGAGTTAGAAACATCAATGAGAGAGAAACATCCATCAGCTGCCTCCTGCCTACTGGGGATGTGCCCACAACCAAGATACATGCCCTTGACTGGAATCGAACCTGGGACCCTCCAGTCCACAGACAGATGCTCTATCCACTGAGCCAAACCAGTTAGGGCTAATTATTGTAATTTTTAAATTGCATAAGCCAATCAACTCAACATATGAGAGTACTCATAAGGAATGTGCTAACAATTCATTCTTTTAAAAAATTAAATATATCAGGGTGACATTGGTTAATAAGATTATATAGGTTTCAGCCAAAGCCGATTTGGCTCAGTGGTAGAGCATCGGTCTGCGGACTGAAAGGTCCCAGGTTCGATTCCGGTCAGGGGCATGTACCTTGGTTGTGGGCACATCCACTGTGGGGGATGTGCAGGAGGCAGCTGGTCGATGTTTCTCTCTCATCGACATTTCTAGCTCTCTATCTGTCTCCCTTTCTCTCTGTTAAAAATCAATAAAATATATATATTTTTAAAAAAGATTATATAGTTTTCAAGTGTACCTTTCTGTGGTACATGAGATGTATATTCCATTGTGTGCCCAAAATCAAATCATCTTCCATCACCATATGTTTAAACTGTTTACTGTTAAGGGCTTTAATTACTCTTGTATTAAGCCAGATCTTTAGTATTAAGCCAGATCTTGGGCTTTAGTATCACATCATTCCTTACAGAAGGGAGGAAGGGAGAGAAGGGAGATGTCCAAGTGTCACACCCAGAGAACAGTGAACTACAGACCATTTCCTTTATCTATCTACTATACTGTATATACTTTGGCTTTCATCAAGTTATTATAAGCAAACTTTATATACACAGGACCTTAGAGTTTATTATTTTTAAAAATGCCTCATATAATGACATTGTGATGAATTTTCATTTGTGATTGGGGTCAATAAAATGTTAAGCCTTATCAGTTTTCCTAATTAAGTGTACTTCTTGCTACTTGGCTGTGATTATTATATATCTTATGTTTTCCTCTTCTATTTGTATGGTGATGTTAAGTGTATGTATGGTGTTTATAGCTTTTCACCATTTAGAGTTCCTTATGTGTATTTGTTTTCTCTTCCCATTTTATTTCTTAGTAAGAGTTTTTAAAATTCTTATGTTTATTTAATCTATATTTTATTGTTAGGTATTTACCATAGTTTAAAAAGTATGTGGGATATAAACAATTTAATAAAAATAAATATATGTTATAGCATGCATTCATCACCTTGTTCATGTCCACCACAGTCAACAAATTAATCAATTGCTTGTACTGCCCAATGATATAAGAAAATCCCCAACATCACACCTAGTCAAACTGTTTTCTGAAAGAGAGCAGGAAAGGAGAGGTGGTTATGAGGCTCTAATTACCTGACTAGTTCAAAATGGGATAACTGTGGGGATAAAGGAAGTAGTGACCCAAACACCGGAAGGTGAGAGGACAGAGAAAATGATTATTGCATTTAGCCTCCGTAGAAGCAAAGACTATTGACCTAATTCGATGGAGAAACTTCTTTTATTTGTGCTCCAGCTGTTTCTAAGTAAGCTGTTTCTAAGTAAGATTTAAGGTGACGCAAAAATAAATTGCAACAGCGCTAAAACAATTACTGAAGATGCAAACTAGAACAAAGAAATAAAGTAGAAGAGAAGGTTTAGGTTTAGATTTAGATTTGTTTCTTTCATGGAAGGTCAGTACCTATGGATAAAATGGGGGTGAAAACTGCAAATCTCACAAATCATTCTCACCAGTTCTCAGGATTGGTTATTAAAATAGGACTAAGATTATATAAGTTGAAATTTGCAAAAACATAAAAACTAGAACCTCGAATTATGTTACATTAAGATGAATTTATCATCTTACATAGGTTTTGCTATTGGAAGACTCAGAAAAATATGAAATATTCAGCCAACCAGATAGAGAAGAGTTTCTGTTTTGTCTTTTCAAACATCTCTGCCTTGGTGGAGCTCTTTGTCAATATGAGGATGTGATTAATCCATATCTGGAAACAACAAAGCTTATCTATAAGGATTTAGTAAGGTAATGTTGCTAGATTACAATATATAAATCTCAAGTTAATAGACTAAATAATTTGTTAAACAATGGTGGGATTACCCAGCATTTGTGGTCCAATTAACAACCAAAGTAAATAAAAATGGTACTACCCTGTCCTCCTCATAGCCTCCTCCTCTTCCAGGCTAGAAAATGTCTCGATTTCTTTGTTTCTTCCCCGCCCCCCCCCCATATATTTTTATTCATTTCAGAGAGGAAGAGGGAGAGAGAGAAACATCAATGATGAGAGAGAATCATTGATCAGCTGCCTCTCCTGGAATTGAACCCAGCACCCTTGAGTCCACAGGCTGATACTCTATCCACTGAGCCAAACTAGCTAGGGCTCCCTGTCCCTCTTTTAGTGCTCAGTCCCCTCATTCTTCACCTGCCTCTTGTTTCCTCATTCAGACCTGTTACCTGCTCCATTCCTCATTAGCCATCTTCCAGGTCTCCTTTTTTACCCTAGGCCTCCGATTAAATCTCAAGAGAACAAAAAGATCCCTCAGAATGTTTGAATTTGCTCGACTAATAATTAATTTACCTTTGTAATTTTTGGAAGAATTTTTATCTAAGTGTAATCTTTACTTTTTATACTAATCCCAAATCCCAGTTTGTTTTAAATATTCTACTAGGTGTTTTTTTTTCTTTATGAAGATCAAATGAGGATAAAAACTTTATATCTTTTATTTATACTTTAATTTTAAGTAAAATAGAAGTTCTTTGGTTTTCCATGAGAAAAATATTAGATCATCTTTATAGGCAAAGGGGATAGGAACAAGTGAAACAAAGGGCCCCAGGGTTTAGCTACAAAATTTATTTTACCAGGAAAACATCAGAATTTATTTCTATCAAACTCGTGATTGTTACTTACTTAAACTCAACACCTCAGTTTTCTTATCTGTTTCATGTATCCTATAGCTATACAGAAAACTACATGATTTAGCTATTTTATTTTAGTTAATTTCTAATATATGGTTTTAAAAACAAAAATACATATGTGAACTCTGATTTTTATGAAAAAATAATTAAAGGTTGCTGGAAGAGATATATTCGAAACAGAAAAAGCACACACACATACCTACATCAAACATTCTGTTCTTACCATTTGCAGCTCATGAAAACTTACAAGACTACTTGTAGCACTCCCTGCAGACACTTCTCATCCTACCGAGACATACAACCCCCTCCTCCCCCACTGCCACCAGTGTGTTTCTCATCAGCCACAGGAACCTGTGGAATTCCTCACCACCATGCCCTGTGGAGGAGGAAATTCTATTGGAGATATTTGAAATAAAAGTAACTTTAGAACCTTCTGTTTTCCCCAACATTCCCTTTTCTGGATTTTTATTTGTGATTCTCTTCTACACTCTTTGGGTGCTAAGAAAAAGTATGCCTCAAAGACTAATGAAATAAGTAGCCAAAATTCAGGATATTTTACAGACAAATATAAATTCAGTAAGTGTTAATATTGTGCACAGAACTCTGCCAAACTCTAAGCTTCAGAGTCTTTAGAGCCTAAAGAGACTGCAAAAGGAGCATCAGATAGTCCTTGACCCTAAGGAAATTACAACAAACAAACATTAAGTAATAGTAATATAAATTATTTAAAATCTTTTATAAGTAACATTTTTATATAATCAAATGTTCAACTAATTATAGGCAAATGTTTATAACTTTCTATACTTTACTAGAGGCCTGGTGCATGAAATTCATGCACAGGGAGGGGGGTGTCCCTTATTCAGCTTGCAGCCTCTCCAATCTGGGACTCCTCGAGGAATGTTCAACTGCCCTCTCACAATCCAGGACTGCTGGCTCCCAACTGCTCACCTGCCTCCCTTCTTAATTGCCTTTAACCACTTCTGCCTGCCAGCCTGATCAGCCCTAACCACTCCTATGCCAGACTGATTGATGTCTAACTGCTCCCCTGCCAGCCTGTTTACCCCTAACTGCCATCCCCTGCAGGCCTGGTCACCCCTAACTGCCATCCCTTGCAGCCCTGGGGGGACAGTTGGGGGCGAGAAGGCTAGCCAGGGAGGAAGCGGTTGGAGGTGAGCAGGCAAGCAGGCAGAGTGATGAGGGGCAATCAGGCAGACACGCAGATGAGAGGTTAGGAGCCAGTGGTCCCGGATTGCAAGAGGGATGTCTGACTGCCATTTTAGGCCCAATCCCCTGAAGGGTCCCAGATTGGAGAGGGACATATCCTCCCCACTCCCCCCCACAACCCCCAGTGCACCAGGCCACTAGTCTATAATAATAAAAGCATAACACCGTATTTTCCGGCGCATAAGACGACATTTGAACCGGAAAAAAGTCAACCGAAAATCGGGGGCAAAAGACCAAAATTGCACAAAAATTACCTGCAGATCTTGACGGCAAAGTAAGCCTTGTCTTTGAAGTGGGGGGTAGTCTTATACAGCGAATGTAGGCCTAAACCTATGTTTTAACTGTAAAATTAGTGGGTTGTCTTATACACTGGAAAATCCAGTATGCTGATTAGAGCAGATGTCCTCCTGACTGACCTTCTGGATGAAGCTGGGGCTGTGAGGGAAGCAGCCAGAGGGGAGCCTGGGTCCCGGTGCCAGAGGGAAGCCGGTGCCAGCAGCAGGGGAAGGAAGACCTTCTCTTGCATGAATTTCATGCCTCAGGCCTCTAGCTGTTTATAAAATTGGTTAACTGATACCTACCTCACTGAGTTGTTTGATCTTTATGAGGTAAATTATATAAAGGTATTTGCAGATTATAAAACATTATAAAGATAGCTCATATATATTTACATGTAGATTTTCTGTAGTTTATTTCCTCTATCCTCAATTTGCTTTCTGATATATATTGGTAATGTTTGTTTGTTTGTTTGTTTATAATATTTTTTATATAACATCAGTGACAGAACTGGCATTTGAGTTTAAGTTGTGTAGTTCTTTAGTTAATGTGTATTTATCTACCCTTCCAGTTCACTACACTTCAATCTGACTTTTACCAATTCTCATTTTTCCAATAATTGTCTCTAGCCTTGGAGTCATGTCGTTTGAATCTCAGATTGACGCCAACTTTCTAAAATTCAGATTTTTGCAATTCCAACTTAGTTGACTTTGCATCACCCTTGAATGAAACCACAGCTGCCACCCTTTTTAAATCACTTTAGTTGGATGTTATATATTTCCATATTACATATGATAATAACATAATAAAATACTAAATGTATTATGCCAATGCTCGTACATTTAAAATGTATCTTTCTCCCTTATTTTAGTGTTCGAAAGCATCCTCAAACCAAGGAAATACAAATTACCTCTTTCATCTTTAAAGTTACAGCATATGTAAGTGGAGAGAAAATTTACTACCAATGAACTTAATTACCTGCTATTAATAGGGTTGTTACAATTGGAGTTAGCAAGTTGGGCTATGTTATGCCTATGAAAAAAGATGGTGATATTTAGCTTTTTGTTAATTTTAAGGTATGCTTTTATTTGGAGAACAGTATGAACTTTTCCCCCTACCTTCCTTTCTGTTGTACATGTCTAATAATAGTCCTTAGTAAGAACTAAATCTGTGACTCATGGAAAGTAAATCATAGTTCTCTGTCAAACCACAACTTATAGGTTAAATAAATAAGAATGCCATAGATGTCTTTGTACCACAGAATTGGATGCTTGAATTTTAGTAGCATACAAAAGTGTCTTCATTCAATTAGTTCAATGTTTATGGAGTATTTACTGTGCTGGGCTAGTTGCTTTTTTTTGATAAAGAAATATAGTCTCTCATTATTATATGGACCATGTTTTAAAAGAAAGCAAAGATAGAAGAAAGTTGCAAAATGGAAATTTCAGCAATATTAGCACTTTATAAGCACTTTTTCAAAAGATGGATTTTCTTTTAGACTACAAATTCCTTAAGGTAAAAAATGATGCATGTTTGTGTAGTAATGAACATATGTATTAGCATAGTAGACTAACAATATTTTTGTTAATTACTTAACTGCCAACTTATGGTCAAAGATTTGATATATGTTTCATGATATATATTAGTTAAATATGTTGACTATTATTTGAATACTGTTGTATACTAAATAATTTAAGTTTATCTTTTTCAGGATTCTGTTGGTGTGTGCTACCCTTCAAGAAAAAGTCACGAACAGACATTTTCTTACTTTATTGTGGATCCTATCATGCGTCATGTTCATGTTTTATACCACTGTTATGGCGTGGGAGATATGTCTTAGCAATATTCTTTCAGATAATCTATATTTACTATATTTTTATTTACCAATTTTTATTTTAGTACTTATTTATAGATAAGCAATCACTTTGCAAGTTAATTCAAGGAAAATATAAAGAACCCACGTAGGAGAAGCAAATGGCAACATGTTTTTTTAAAAATATATATATATATTTTTATTGATTTTGAGAGAGAAAGGGAAATAGAAACATTGGCTGCCTCCTGCACATCCCCTACTGGGGCTTGAGCCGCAATCCGGGCATGTGCCCTGACAGGAATCAAACCAGCAACCTCTCTGTGCACGGGACAACACTCGACCAACTGAGCCAGAGCCAACATGCCTTTCTTTAAATCTGTCTTTTAAAAAGCTAAGCTAGGAAAGCTAATATAGGAAATAGACTCTATCCCTACCATAGTCTATACCAATACAATTGGAGAATTTTGACAGAAGTTGCAAAGAACTAAAACTCTAGTTAATATTTGTTGCATTAGAATTCAAGTAAGTCCTTAATTTTCCATTTATTTTATTTTAGAAGCTAATTAATTCCTGATTGAAATTGTGGGAGAAACTTAAACATCTCTACTACGTATCATTAATATGAATTATTAGTTTTTTTAAATTTGAATTTTATTTAATTATACTTCTACATTGTATAAAGATTTATATCTCAAGGGCTGTGAAAAGTATAACAGTTTCTTTGTTTCACTTGTCCCACTAACAATCCTCAATTAAAAAAGAATGTTCTGAAAGTAATTGTAAACTCTTTTAGCACATAATAATTAAAATTGCAGCTGCCTACTGTTAGTACAAGATCTGCATGTAAACAGAGAGAGTTGCTCTGGTGGGATTATTAAGTTGGCAAAAGAATAAAGAACAGGTCTCTTGGTACTGTTTCCTCGTTACATTTATAAAATGAATATCTAACTTAGATATTTTTAATGGGAAAAGTAATTGACAATATTGAGACTTTAAGGAGAGGAAAGTTTGTAATAGTTGTTTCTGTGTTGTAGGGATAAGGATGATAATCTTGGATTTGAGCTTGTGGATATATCTGGAAGGTAACTGGCAAGCTGAGTATAGAGATCAGGAAAGAGAGTTTGACTTTTAATACCTAGCACAATGGCTTGGCACGTTAATTTATTGAGTGAGTGTTTTCCAGATATGTTCCAGATAATATCCATAGTTTTTTTTTTAATCATATAAAAAACAAAATCAAGAACTACAATACCTACTTGCTACCAGTCTGGATGCCTGCCACACAGACCCCCTACAATCTGGGGAACCTCTCTTTATCAGTCAGTCATTCAGGTTTTTTTTTTAGTACCAATTTCATGCCAGGCACTGTGCTATTGACTTTGGGGAAATAGACACTCCCTATAAACTTTATAAAGAAGGTAATCTATAAGAGTATGTCTAGAAACAGTGACTGTTACATGAATTCAGAGATGGAAGAGATCACTATGAACTAGGCCTGGGAAGGGCTTGGTCTGGCTACTCCAGAAGAATGGATGGGGTTCCAGCGCCTGGAAAGGAGAGCGGGCCAGTTGAGTAGAGAAGCATGCTCTGGCAGAGTGCCCTGAGCCTCGCTCTGCGATGGAAGTTCGGAGGCAGAAGATGAGTTGCCAATATTTTTTCTCTGCTTTAAAGGTGGAGGTAGAATATATCTTTGAAGGAAGATCAATCCATTGTTTTTGGGAAATCATTTTAATGACCTATCTGTGATTATGCAGATTTTTGTAGTAAGAGGTAGTAATAAAGACTTTGGAGTAGCCAGTCAAATTGCCTAGATCCTTACTTCTGCCATTACTTGCTGTGTGACCCAGCTAGTTATAACCTTTCTGTGCCTCTTCTATAAAAGGAAAAATTAATAGGACTCCTTCATAGATTATTGTGAAAATTATACACACACACACAAACACAGACACACGCGCTCGTGCACACACACACACACACACACACATATACATTTTATTTTAGAAGCTAATTAATTGAATGGCTTAGAATGGCGCCAAACACATAGTGTGAGTATTCATGAATTGTGGCTTTTTTCATTATTTGTTGAGGAAATATTTTTAAAATCTAGTGCTAAGCAGCAAAATAATGTAAAAAGCTGCCTTCCTTAAAGTCAGAATTGCTTTTCTTAAGATTATTATTATTATTATTATTATTGATTAATCCTCATCCAATGTTTTTTCCCCCATTGATTTTTAGAACTAGTGGAGGGGTGGAAGGGAGAGAGAAACATCAATATGAAAGAGACACATTCATTTATTGGTTGCTCCCACGTGCTCCCCCTCCCCCCCAGCCCGTCCTTTCATTGGGGCCAGGGATCAAACCTGCAACCCTTGCCCTAGACTGGGAATCCAATCCAAGACCCCTCATGGGCAGACTGAAGCTCTCATCACTGAGTCATGCCAGCCAAGGCAAGATGATTTTTTTTAAAATATAGTTTTATTGATTTCAGAGTGGAAGGGAGAAGGGGAAAGAGAAACATTAATAATGAAAGAGAATCATTTATTGGCTGCCTCCCACAAGCCCCCCACTGGGGATTGAGCCACAATCCGGGCATGTGCCCTGACAAAGAATCAAACAGTGACCTCCTGGTTCATAGGTCAACGTTAAAACACTGAGCCACACAGGCCGGGCTTATTGTATTGTTAATTTGACTAGATAGAGTATAAGAGATGGGAGCACTTTTTCTCCTTTTTCTGTAGAGGACCTAAGTTCGGATTCTAGGTGTTTCTTTGGCAGCATTTTGCACACTTAGAGTTATTTGCTCAACTATTTGTAATCATCTAATGTCTGTCATGAAAACAGCAGCTGTGTCTGTTTGGTTCCCCCTTGTATCCTCAGTGCCCAGCATATTGCCTGGCACTTAACTGACACTTCATCTGTGTTCCCTGACCAGCTCAGCGCAAGCCGATGAAGGTGTGACTCGGGTGTGGAGAGTGAGAGTGAGGGAGCAGGGAAGGGTGGGCATCAGAAGTACAGTAGGTCCACTCGTTATCCCTAATCCTGTGTGAAATGGTGCACACCAGCATACACTGGATGTAGCTGTACTGTGTGGAATCAGACAAGCATCCTGGGACGAATTACCGTTGGAGAACAGCAGCAGCCTTAGAACCCAGCTTTGAAGAGCAAGATGTGATCAACTGAGGACAGAGTATTATTCTAAAGTGAGAAACTGACCATGGAGACTTATGACAGCACAATGGTTTCCTGGGATTTGACAACATTTTTTCAGAAATTCTGAAAATGACTTAAGAAGAGAAGGCTTACGGAAATATAATTTGGACATTCAAAAAATGGATTCAGGGTGAAGACTGAAGAACTTGGGACACTTAGGTTAGGTCTGTCTCATGAGCAAAAAAGCAGGCAGAAGAACACAAGGTGATTTGGGGGGACATGAGTATACCTGATGAGTTGGAACTGAGGAGTCCTGTTCAGGAGTTCTGGGTAATAACACAGAGAAGACAGATTAATGGGGAACTGATCATCGAGGGCTGTGGGTACAAAGCTAAGAAATGTAAATCTTTTAAATAGATGACATATAGCAGTCATTAAAGACTTTGGAGCAGGGTAGTAGCATCATGAAAGTGATACTCTGGAAAGATTAGTCTGGCAGTGATGAATTGGGGTAAGGAAAGTCCAAAGATCAAACAGGAGATTATAGTAGTTGTCAAAGCACAGAATTGACTGATCTAAGTTAATAGCAATGGAAACCCTTTTTGGGATCATGAAGTATGTGACAACGGAATGCAGATTAGAAAAAAATGAAATATGGGCCCCAAAAGGCTAGCGGCTGGGTGAGTTACGAAGTGCTGGGTGTTTGAGGTAGTGAGGACGGGGAAGTGGGAACTGTGGTAGGAAGATGCGGTCAGAGGGGGAAATCCCTCGTCCTGCCTTTCGTTCCTGCCCCAGGCCATGCTCAACCAACCTTGGTCCTCACAACTTCAAAAACCTAGGTCTGAAGTTTCTAAAAACTGACTGGAGTTTCTTAGGAAAACTATTGATCCTGAAGGCTTCTTAGTTTTTATTCTTTATTCCACAGATGTTTGTTGATTACCGTCTGTGTGCTGGGCACTTTCTAGGCGCTGCACATACAGCAATGAACAAAAAACAAAACAAAACTTTCTATATTTGGAAGTCTACATTCTAGTGCTCATAACAGTATTTGGTGCAATGAGAGAAATACCCAATTATGAAACTTGAAGTTTTATTAGAGAAATGACACACATTTTTTAAATATTTTTCAATCTGGTGGATGTGAAATGATACTTATTTTTTAAATTGTTCTGACTTTTTATACAAAATAGAGCATCATCTTATGTAGTTTTCAAACGTGTATTGATTCTGACGGGCAGTTTCAGAGTTCAGAGTCACTGCTCTACTCTACTTTTTTCTAGTTTAAAAAAAAGGAGAGGGGAGAAAGAATACATGAAAAGCAAAAAACAAAGGAGAGAATAAAAGACAGGGAAGTATGCTGTCTCTTACTGTAAAAGCCGCATTAATTAGTACTAAACGCTGCATTTAGAGCCACATTTAGCCGTGTCCAACTGGCAAACTCTAGCAGCCAGTCTACCTGATACCCTCTAACGTAAGCCTTCACTCTCCTGACTTGGCACACATGTTAAAGTTCATTCGAATAGGCTGGCTGACCTGGGTTTAAATACGGCTGAAACTGACCATTCCTGTTTATCTTATCTTTTTCCTTTTGTAAAGAGAAAATGTCACTGAGCTTTAGCAAACACTAAGAATCTAAATTATTTTTCTTTTTCCTTACTAGAAAGGTGTGTGAGAGAAATAGTAAAATGGAAAACACCTATAGCAATATAGACTTTTATTCAATGTTTTTTGTTTTTTGTTTTTTTTTTATCAACTGGCACTCTTCTATGCCCATAACATATTATAGAATAAAATAGTTATTCTTAAAATACTCCATACATATAAATATAAAATAAGGTTAAATATAGCACTGCCGTTCTGAGGGTCCCAGAGTGATC